GGTTGGTTGTATGTTTCAGTCACTGCAGTCATCTTGCTTCTGAAGGTGGGACGACAGCATATGATGTAGTATGGTCAGTATGCCCAAACTCTTATCCTTGGTGACACAGAAATATCCCACAGAATGCAAACTCCCACCATTAGCCATGGTAGATCTGCCTTCACTGATTTATTGAGACTTTTTGGGAAGTGATTGTATGTCCTGCCTGTACCACCTTCCACTTTCAGAGGTAACTGGTTCCATTAGTGTATTCTTTGTTAGTGAAAGAATATACTTTCTCATTTATCTTAAATTTACCTCTTTCTATTTCAAGAGACTATTCCCTTGAAGAAATTGTTTAATTCCACCAGTATTTATCAAATCAATGTGTTTTGGAGTTTACAGACATAGAATTCGTCTTTTTGTCAGGCTTCATTTTCCAAGAAGAGAAGTAACTACTCACTCAGAGAACTTCATGCCCTTCCTTCATTCTTTGAGTTACACTTGTACTGATGTTTCCAGCCCTGTTTACATATTCATCATATTTGAGTGTATTTTTGAGACACAGTCCACACTTTAAGCTCCATGAGAGGGAAGATACATGATATTTGTCAGATGAGTAATCAAAAGAGCCATTAAATGGGAAAAGAAGGGAAGACAAATTATAGAGCTTGGAAAATGGCAAAATATAAGAATATTTTGTACTTTCAGAAATTCTCATGGGGTCTGTGCTGGGCAAGAGGGAAGGCTACAGGGGATGTATCTGGAATTTGGTAATACATATGTTCAGAGGCTATTATAATTGTTTGAATGAGATAATTGGGAATATTATCTATTATTTGTTTTAGGAATAAATATTAATGCAAATTAAAAACACTTTAAAATTGGCTCCTTACAAATTATTAATAATGACTTCTCCCAGAAGCAATTTTAGTTTATCTGTAGTCTTCAGTTCTCTGGCTACATTTTTGGGAAACAGGAGTTTCTGTTTTAAAGCTTATAAAAATGGTTGAAGTATTCTTTCACCTGCAGTTTCAAGGCAATACAAATCCATTCTCCTCTATAAATTTCTTTCTTTGTTCTTATTCCCAGATAAATTATTTCAATTTTAGGAAAACATATCTTTAATTGTATCTCCAAATTTTTTTCTCATTTGACATACCAGTTGTACATTTAAAACTTAAATTATGAGATTTTGCATATATAAGTACCATACTATAAATTTAATATAAAATTAAAAAAAATTCTTATGTATTTTTATAGGTACATACATATAGTCTGTTAAAACATGCGTGGGAAAATAATACCAGCCATAGGATAATGTTTAGCTCTGGCAGCAATTCCCTACCCTCTCCAAACACTCGCTTCCCACAAAAGCCAGTGTTCTAGATATTTAGTCATATAAAAGTCACAAAGCGTTTGTTAAAAATATAGATTTTAGCCTTTAACATCAAAAGCTCTGATGAAGCAGGTCTGAGTTGGGTTGATCAATGTGCATTTGAAAAAGAACCCCAGCCAATTTAGCTGCAGATGCTTAGACAACTACTGTAAATCAGAAGTACTGAATATGCACAGCTGGCAGGTGGATGTTGGCGCCTGAAGCGGGCGCCTGAAGCGCCAGTGTGAGGTCAGGCCTGGGACATGATTTGGCAGCCATTAGTCTGGAGGTGGAGTTAAAACCCTCCAAGGGAGGGTGCAGAGAGAGAGGAGTGGCAGACTAAGGATAGAAAGCCAGAGTGCAAGAGACAGAAAGAGGAGGAGGAGTCTACCAAGGAAACTAAATGCAAATCTGGAGAGGGAGGAGGAGAACAGAGAGCACCATGTCATAAATGCCAACCAGGCAGCATTCAGCAAGGAGGGGTGCTCAAAGGGCCAAATGAAACAAAATGGCTGAGGAAGGGAATGCCAGAAACATGCTCTTTGTCTGTGTAGTCTATCTCAGGCAGTATAATGTTTGCTCCTAAAGGTAGGGTTATTTGTCATTGTATTGCCAGTAACAGTCATATTGTAAACATTTGATAAGTACTTGGTGAACTAAACTGGATTGAGAATGACAGCTGCCATACAAGAATTTTTAAAGGGCTCCTTTACAGCTTGGTTCCATCAAGGACCCTCATTAGGATGAGCAAATGTTGTACAGATAAAACAATTCACAATGGAGAATTAATTGCAACCAGATCGATAAACCAGTTATTTTGAGCCATCTGCCAAGATGTGTAATGACATTTAAAAAACAATGTGGAACCTTTGTGTGTATGTGATGGTATTCTGAAGAATAAAATTCTTTAGTCATTAAACAACAAAGCAAAGACCTTTAAATCTTTACATTTAAATTGCGAGAGCATTTTTTTAAATACAAATGGTCTCTCACGATCATTTGTAGAAGCATGTGTAGCCATGAGGAGAACAAGCCACATTAAATGAGGTAAATGACTCTCCAAGAATGCACATGTGTTGGTTGCTAAGACAACAGCTGCGTTTTATTGAATAGAGAGCAAAAAATCAATTAGGAATCATTGGAAGAACTTGAACAGGAACATAAAACATTGTGCCTCACAGTTTCAGGAACTTTGCTACAGCTGTGTACTGAATGGACAGGGTTTGCGTGTATGCCAGTCGATGGAGCAGTAGAAAAGTCACCCTCTTGATACATTTCCATCATCCTAACATCCCCTTTCACAACCTGGTCTTCTCAATATCACAGTAATTTATTAGAGTGGTAAAAAATTTAGCCAGTTACCTGCCTCCTATGTATCAATGGCATTAAACAATTCTTGGCTTGGATATATGTATATTTTGAAAGAAACAGTTTTCATTTTTATTCATAGAGACAGCCAACATCTGTGTAGCAGTTTCTTCCCCATCCTGGCATGTACCCAGCTAGTTAAGAAAACACAAGAAGACATGGAAGAGACCGTCTTAGGAAGCCAGCCTGCCAACCCTCTTCCCGGTTTCCTCCCTCTCTTTCTTTGGGGATCTACTATTCTCCATTCTTATCTTTCTGAGGTCCTAAGAGGATTAAGAAAACATTTTAATTCAATTTTTTGGACTCTTCATAAGACATTGTTTAATTGGTAGAGTGGCAAGAAGAGCCCCTGTGTCAGAGATGATAACTTCAAAAGTAGCCACAGGAGACCGTACACCAGCCATGTAACTTTCTCCTGGGTGGCTCGAAGATATTTGGCAGAGGAGTTCTTGTGGCCATCCAGGGATAGATTTTAGTTTAATGAACTCTTTAAGCTTATGAGAATTGGTCAGGCTTTCAGAGTGAACTGTATATAGTTATGAGATGATCAAGAGGAAGAGTGACCCAATGAAAGGGCCTTGCTTTTTTGATTCATGTTGCACAACACCGGCAGATCAATCCCAAATCATCCCCTTTATAACAGTGATTTTCAAATTATAGATTGAGACACATAATGCTTTTGGAGATGGGTTGGGACCACCGTTTATAAAAAAAGAAGAAAGATTAAGACAGAAAACAGAGTGAATTTCATCAAGTAAAGTTAAAATGTGTTTTGCGAAACTTTTGTTTCATTCTCTCTCTCTACTTGTGTATGTACTGGGATGCTAAATTGAAAGTATTTCTTACTGCAGGTCCTGGCCAAAAAGATTAAAAGTCAAAGTTTCCTTTGTTAAGAATGTCTCAATGTTCTCAGTGGTCTACCAAAAAAAAAAAAAAAAAAGAAAAAAGAACAAATAAATAACAACAAAAAATAATTCCAACTCCTTCACCTCCAGGACTGGAGTTGTTCTCCAAATCCACAACTCACATCTGCAACTTTATGCGAGGTTCTCACTTTTCTACTCACTATCCTCTCAACTTATGCTCATCTCAATGTCCATGCTTCATGGTGCCCTTTACTAATAATGCCTCATCTCCTTTGTTGCTGCAAATTCTACTCTCCTTTAGAGACCATTACAGCTGTATCTTGCCATTTCAACCAAATGACCTCCATCTCCTCTCATCACTCATCTCTTCCTTTGGTGCTGTTCATTTCCACACCTGATCTTCCTGGGGACCCTCTCTGCACTGCTTTTTGTTTTCCTCCGATCACACTCCACTCCTACATCTCTTTCTGGAAATGTTTTTCCTCCTCCCTGTGTCTGCCTCCATCTCCCTGTTGCTTTCCTGTCGGCATCTGCCTTGCGGCTGATCTCCTCATTGACGTGTTTTTGCTGTCTTGTAATTCTGCTTCCTTATGTGTATCTCCAGTCTTCAGTCTCCACTTGAGTGGGAGCAACTTGAGCCTAGGAACTGTGAATCACTTTTTTGTATCCCCCATGATGTTTGGCATAATACAAAGCATACATGAGTGTGCAGTAAAAATTTCTTGACTCAATCAATTAGTTAATCATCAGTCCCTCCTTTGCATTAAATCTCTACTACTCAACGCCAGCATTTTTCTCTTTAGATACAATCTTTTGTGTTTGAAATGGCTGTGCCATTTCTGAAGCTCTCTCATATCTATTATCTCATTTGTTGTTATCTACAAGGACTTGGTTAAGTAGGCATGGGCTATGATACTCCTTCTGGAGATGGGGTGACTAAGTCTCAAAGGGGGTTGTAACGGTAACATGGCTTATCGATGATGTTACTAGAATCAGAATCCAGGATGTGACCTATTCTGTGCCTTTATCCTCCTCCTATGGGAACTTGAGAACAATAATCACACAATAAAATAAAGAGCTCAATGAATGCAATATGGAGTATGGAGAGAGGAAAAAAAATAGTGGGCAAGGCATAACCTGTGTTTCTCATGGAAGAAGAATTTGAATACTTTGTATTAATACCAAAATTCTGAGTATCATTTTTGCTTCTGTAATTGTGCTTGAGCTCTCATGATGTCATAGTAAATGGGAGAAAATAGATTGTCCACTTAGGGAGGATATACTGCTTTCCACTGTTGGATTGACAAATATTTCATTAACTCCATCCTGACAATTAGCTGGGACTCTGTATAGTGTTACAAATAATAAACAAATTCTGTTTCTTTTTAACTTGCTAATTTGTTTCTTACCAAGCTGTTCTCCTAAATGTTGGCCTCGCTCGGTTGAGATGACCCGCTCGTCTTCCATGTCACACTTGTTCCCAACCAGAATCACCTGGGCATTATCCCAAGAGTATGTTTTGATTTGAGTTGACCTAAAAGAAAAAGAACAAGTACAACATTATCAGAGGGAAGCAGAACAGCATAAAATGAAGGAGAAGAAATACCTTCCACAGATGATGATGACAGCAAAAGGAAAAAAAAAACACATGAAGTCCAAATGCCTGACATTTAGAGTTGATTAGTTTGGTGCAATTTTACCTTTCAGATACTCATTAGAGATTGCATGAGTCAAAAATCAAGGGAACAGTGGAGGTGTACTAATAATCCTTTTGTATTTGATGAGATTACTGCTACTACTGAATCTTCCTTTCCTCTTTTACCCCCACCTTATATAATACCTTTATAGTAGAGTAGCCAACCATCTTGGTTTGCCCAAGACTTTCCCCGTTTAAAACAGTAACAGTCTCATGTCTTGAGAAACCCCTCAGTTTCAGGCAAACTGAGATGGCTGGCCAACCTATTTCCAGCCCATCACACAAAAACATTATTTTCTTTTATCACACCAACAACTTAAAGAGCTAAAGCAATGCGGCTTAGGAAATCTGGGAGAAGTGGTAATTTTTAAAAAGGGAATCATGAGAGTAAATATGTTCTTGCCTTGCCTTTATAAAAGAAAAATATCAGGTTGATTAATGTCAAAATTATAATACAATGGGCTGACATTTTAAGTTGCTATAAACAGGATATTTAGAATTTAGAATAAGCCTCCAGTATGAATCATCACAAAATAACCAACTTTTGATTTTTGGAACTTAGATAATAAATGTAATAGTTTGCTTTTACAGGTATTTTTTTTTAACCTGCTTAGCCAGTAAGTTTATTGTCTTTATCTGAAAAATCTTCCCAGAACATCGTTTGTTTTATTTCTCAGCAGCCTGCTCCTGAGCTCTGGAGAAGCTTCCCTTCTTTTGAGCTACCTGATCTTTCTTCTGGGCACGGGACATTTTGGGATTGTTCCACCCATAATGTTTGCTGTTGCTTCTTAACTTCTTTCCTGGGCTTCTTGTTTGGATTCTCTTGTATAGCAACATGAACTTTTGTTTTTTGTCTTATTTATTTATTTGAGACAGGGTCTCACTCTATCACCCAGGCTGGAGTGCAGTGGCATGATCTTGGCTCAACCGATCCTCCCACCTCAGCCCCCTGAGTCACTGGAATGACAGATACACCACCACACCTAGGTACTTTTTATAATTTTTTTTTTTTTTTTGTATAAACAGGGTTTTTCCATGTTGTCCAGGCTGGTGTGAAACTACTGGTCTCAAGCAATCCACCCACCTTAGCCTCCCAAAATGCTGGGACTGTGAGCCACCATGCCCAGCCAATCTCAGTTTTCTTGTACATCTCCATCAGCTCTCAAGTTATGCTGTTCTTTATGTATGGAGAGAACCATTTCTTGTAAGCATCTTCATCTGCTTCCAGTAGGTAAAGCATGTAATCTGCTTTATTCTGACCCATGATGTGTTTCCCATGCACTTCTGTATTAAATTCTCTGCTTTCAGAATCCCAAGCAGGGAATCGTCTGGTACTATGAGGGACAGAACAGCCTTCATCCACAGCTCCCTTCAAGGCCCCCAAAACTTTATTGCCAGTGATGGTTCTGGCAAGGCCTACATCCAAATAGCAGGTAAAGGCATCAGGCTGACCATCAGTGTTTTCCGTATCACTTTAATCTCTGGTTATCTCCACTTGACCTTCCATGCCAAACCCACCGAGAAGCCTGTAGGCCAGTGGCAGGCCAGTACAATGTGCTGCAGCATAATTTGTCAGGCCAACCTTCACACCATATTTTGGCAGTTCATGTATCATGTACGTATGCTGTGCAGACTACCATATCCCCTTCTATATGGGCATAAGCATTCTGACAAATGACATCTCTGTTTGTTATACAGACTATCACCCTATATTCCAGTGTATTGTATTTATTTTTATCCTGTATCTCTGAGCCTTTTTGAGCATGGTAATCCGTTTTACCCTCTTGTCATCTCCTAAATTTCACTTGGTATCTCTTAATAGGCCTTATTCTTAACAACTTTAACAAACCCCATCTGTGGAAGAAAGACCCTCATCCACAGCTTGACACAGACCTCCAGGCCCAGCAATGCCAGGCAGAGAAAAAGCACAGATATTTTTCTAAACACTTTATATATGTTGCATTAATTTAATCCTTAGAATTACTTAAGGCGAATATTGTTATGCCCACTTTACAGTTGAGGAAAATGAGGCATAGAGAAGTTAAGTAATTGCCCAAAATCACTCAGCCAGTAAAGTGGCAAATGTGAGAATCATGTTCTGGAAGTATGGCTCTCAAGCCTGTAGTTTAAAAACATGCTTCCATACTAGTCATTAAAGGTTCAAAAAGTGAAGTTCTAGTGCATTTATTGTTATCTAGAGGATAACTATGTTACAGAGGAAGCTGTGTTCTTCCACTCGTCCTTCATATTGGCCTCATTTTTATTTAAGAGCAGTCTAATATAGGTGGGAAAGACATGTTACCCAGTGGGTGGTCAGGAAAGAAATACTGAAATGTTGACATGTAAACAAATGATTAAAGTTTGAAAAAAAATAGATTTGGAACATGTCGAAAAGTAAAGCTTGTGAATGGTGTTACAAACAATTGTCAAGAGAAGGATCACTGAAAAGAGAATGGTGATGAGCTCTTCTCAACTTGAAGAAGGAATAAAAAGCAAATATTATAGCTTTAAACTGCAGCAGGAGAGCTTTCAATGAGCTATGATCACTGTTTCTCCTTCCTGAGAAGAAAGGAAATAGCAAAGAGGCAGACAGCGTTTGATTTCAGCATATTCTCCCGAACCAAGTACATCTAACTTTTCAAATGAGATTAAATTATTTGGGGAAATAGATTCTTGATTCCACCTGGACATCTCAGAGTCACAGCATATTTTATCAGAACAATATGACCTTTCTAATTCTGATACCTAATTTAATAATATATTCCTTTAGCCACAGTGAGATTTGGCAGGTATCTATGGACTGGAGAAATAAAGACAGAACTTCTAAACGCTATACTTTTTCCTCACTTAATCTTATGTATGGAGAATATGAAAAATGATGCATTCATAATGAATTAGGGTGTAAAATAAATCCTACTCTTGGAAACACTTTAAGTAACAAATGCTAATATATTTTTGCAAAGGAAGTCACAAGTTTCTTTTGAAGGATCTCACATCTGATCAAATTTCCTCATGTAATTAAAAGAAATGATCTCTTTGTTCCTATAGGTCTTGTAAGCCAGGGCTTGGACAGGCCCTGGGTAGAAGCACCTTATGTTAACAGAAAAAGTGCTAATCCTTGTAGTAAAGCTAGAAATCAGATACCCAGAATGAGATTAGTGACAAGGGATCCACCAGAGTGTGTCACGGTAGTCTAAGTATCTAAGAAAAGAGTTGTCTAACTCAGAAGTTGGGTCGGGTGTTACTGACCTAGCTTCTGAGTATCTTGAGGACAAATGAATGATTGAGGAAATTTAGCACTCTTCTGACTTGGGCCAGTATATCCCACTGCACCCCTAACTGTATAAACTCAAGTCAGGGTGTGCTTTTGTGAAGGTCGGGAAGGTGCATAACTTACCACCCACTAGCTGATTCATGTCCCTTAACCAAATTAATGGAATGCTTGCTTCTATACCTAAACACATCTGAGTATCTTGGTTCTGCTTACATAATAATAACCCATGGGGCCTTAGGCTACTGTAATAGGCTATACATTTATGCATATACAATATTCCCCACTCCTCAATAATTTATAAGAATATATGACCAAGAAGAATATACTTTTTTTTGGCCATGATTATATGAGATCCAACCTCTTCTCCATTTGCTTTTATATAAGAAATATTTTCATGTAACTTCAAATTTTCTAAATTGCCAGGGAAATAATGTATAATGTTTACTTTATACAATTACCAGGGAATTATAAAGCATCATTATTTTGAAAGCTTAGACAGCCAAAGGAGACCAGTTTTCTTTTTAATAACAGAAAAATTGTGGTCCTGGAGCATTTGTGCTAAGATGAAAAAAAGACTGATTTGCTATTAGAGTTGGTTAATTTTATGATTGAAATTGGGGTTACAAATGTTCAATGTTTGGCTTGGTTTTGACTACGTTGGACTTTCTGATGTTGTTCTGCACCAGCAGAACAGGGAAAGGAGCTTTAGGTTCAGTCCCACCATCCGCAAGTGGGGATCGGAACCATGCTGGCTGATTTGTGAATTCCCAGCCATCATAAAACCTAACATAAGTGATAAGATCAAAATTATTTGACAATGGCCAAGAACAAAAAGATGTAGCAAATGAGACTATGTCAGCTTCTTGTTGCTTCGAAATTCCTTTCATATATTCTGAAAGAGTTAGCTTTTTTTGTTCTTTTAGTTTCTTTGCTTAGTGCATGGTAGGTTGACATGCAAGATCTACTTGTACCTTCCCTTTTTAGGTCCTGTAGAGCACTATGTTGTTGCTTTGCAAGAAAATGTAAAATGATGTTCATTACTCCAAAATAAGTATTCATGTCACTGATATGAAATTTATACCTCTTTCTACATACACAGTAACTTTCTATCCATGTACCAATAACTGTATGACTCTGGCAGTATAAGCAGCTAGGACCAAGTTAGTACATGTAAAAGTAATGAAATCTACATTTGGTATTGCTGCATAGTGATCATAATAAGCCATTGATTAAAAAATGTATCTCAATGTCAGAGATTATTTTATTTTTTGAGATGGAGTCTTGGTCTGTTGCCCAGATTGGAGTGCAGTGGCTCACTGCAACCTCCGCCTTCTAGTTTCAAGTGATTCTCATGCCTGAGCCTCCCTAGTAGGTAGGATTACAGGCATATGCCACCACGCCCAGCTAATTTTTGTATTTTTTATATTTAGTAGAAACAGGATCTCTCCATGTTGGCCAGGCTAGTCTTGAACTCTTGACCTTAAGTGATCTGTCTGCCTTGGCCTCCCAAAGTGCTGGGATTACAAGTGCGAGCCATCATGCCCAGCCATAGATGTTAAAGTATGAA